TTCACACGTAACGTCTGATTCACCACTTCTTTGTTTTATAAATGGATACTTATTTTGCAAAGAAATGTTAAAAGTACACTTGCGTTTAGGCATTATTGTAATGTTACAACCACTAACATTGAAAATAAATTGTTTGACTTTGCTCGCCTTCTCCGACTCCGCGATGAAAAGATACCAGAACAATTTAGAGCGTCTATGCTTAGGGTACTGACAGAGTGACAGAAACTTTTTCTGTTTTTATAAGCATTTTTAATTTGGTGATTTCCCTTGTTATGCTGGAGTTAATGTCAACGCCGTCGACGACGCCGAAAAAGTTGAAACAGATTGAACTTTTTCGGCGTCGAATTTCTTAAGGCGTTAAGATTAACTGCTCTCATAAAATTTCATACGATTCTATTTTTTTGACATTTGACGCCGTCGACGACGTCGACATTAACTCCAGCATTAGCATTACCAAATCTTTCGAGTTAATAATGTTAATGTTGCTTGAAAAAAACTATGCAAATAAATTAAACGTTCACGGGGAAAAAAATAACTCATGTATTTTTCATCAATATCAATATCCAGTATTTTCGAAAGCGGGACATTTTTGCTCTCGCTGGGGACAGCGGGACAGATAACCTCAAAGGACTGTCCCGCCCAAAGCAGGACGTATGGTCACGTTAATCATATCATCACTTTCTCATTTCCTTGTGCCTAATTTTAGTAGCAATGCACATCCTTAGTAGTATTTCGTAGTACCTCCAATAATTTTCATTTGATTTATCTAAAAAACAAGTAAAAACAGCGTTAGTTGCAAATGTTTGCTGGATTATTATTATTAAAAGTAATATGTTTTGAACCCAGCAGGAAATATCCCTATTGTGTTATGACGGTCATTTAATTCCCAAAATGCTGTATAAATGATGCTGTCCCATACTCCACACTCCTTGGTGTTAAAAAAGACGCATGGTAGAATGAAGAAGGTAAAGTCATGCAATCATATGTTTACATTTTCTTTCAAAATTGTTCATTTGACAACATCTCATTTTCAAAGTGATTTTGACGGGCATTTTATGCCAGTTACATTTCATAAATAAACACAATTTGAATTCTATAACATGAGAACGTGTTGTCTTTGCAAGAAAAAAAAAAAAACGACGCTGGCGGTAATTGATCTTTTTTATTGTTCCCAAATCCGAGGAAGGACGCCAAAGATGGTCTCAAGCATGTGGTTCTAACTTTTATGGGAAGGAATTCCTTTGTGAAGACTACTTTTTACCATCAGACGTCATCAAATTTTCCAAGCGCAGCTGCTTATTGCCCAATGCAACACCGTGTGTGGCAATAAAGGAACATGAAATAAACTCTAGCGGGTAAGGCATATTAAATTATGTAAGGACGAAAATGTTAATATTATACTTTTCAAGTGGTGACATTGGAATATCGGAAAATGACCAATATTCATGGCATGAAGTTATTGTCTCCGCAAGCACTTCAAATGAGACAGAGTAAAAGTTTTGCCTAGATTAGATTTAGCTACTTAAAGATAGTTTCAACGTTTCTTCAACCCTTCCCTGCCTTTAATACCTCCTCACAAATGTGTGATATTTTGCTAGAAAATAAAAAGTTCATATTGAGGGAAGGGTGCGAAAATGAACATTAGTTGTATATTTGATCCATTACCTCACCCATAAAATATTTTTTTCTATATTAAAGCCGGTGTAAAAATGGAATATATCGGTCAACTCTTTTGGTAAGTTCCCCACAAATATGTCCGTTTAGTTAAATATATTTGGACTTGCGTTATGATTATTCAAACACTGGATCCTTTATGGGCCGAAGGAATGGACCAATATTTTCAATTTTGAATCTGACATAGATCTGATATAAATTTTACAACATGCCAGAATTGGACTATATCGACTATTCCTTCACTTTATATGAGATATATGAATGTGTGAAGTTTTGAAAGAATCACACGTTTAGTTATTCTCAAATTTGGTCCCTTGTTTGGAAGGTTCCAGAAAGTTTTGGCCCTTAAATTTCATCACATCAGATCTCTAGTTGGTAAAAAAATGTGATACACAATATTTGAAGAAAAGTGTGGATTCAGTTCAGATGTAATCTGATTTATAATTATTACAAATTTTGACCCTTTGTGGAGAAGTATGAGAAGAAGTGAACAGATATATCTCCACACTTGATCTAAATACTGTGATCTGCGAAATTTTAAGACAATAGGACTCTTACTTCACCTTTTATAAGAAATACGATTATTAAAAATTGTAATCATTGGTGGGAAGGTAATAGAAGGTGTGTGCCGATATTAACCACTTCGAACTCGATCTAGCCAGGCAAACAGGCCGATGGACGTTAAATCGTCTTTGATCTCTATTCTGATCATTAACATATATGCTTCATGGGGTCTCCGACGAATTTTTAGAGTTACAAACGGAATGCGAATCTAATATACCCTCTTTTCAAGGTGGTGGGTATAAATATTATTCGCTTTGCACGATATTTATTTTTTAAATATGTGAACCGTTCGTGGAGAAGGTATCTGAATCAGTGAACCCATGTATTTTCATCAACGCACACAATATGTTTTATTATTTCATGAGTCTGGGCCCGAGAGCTTCAACGCGACCCCAAGTTTTTCTTACTTTGATAATTGTTTAGACTGATGACTTTCGGTCCTTAAGATTCACGGGTACGCTAATCAACATTTATAAATACAAAAGAGTTATTTGTGAATTGTCGGAACCCCATATCTCAGAAAGTGCGGATTTTTCTATGAAACCATTATGTTGTTTTAAAATTTCCCCATTCAAAAACATAATTGAATCCCTAGGTGTTAAACACGATTTAAAATTTATAGGAATGGAAGGATGTTCACTTCGCACTAAATCTGATACACTCTTTCAGAGTTATGGCGCTCACCACACGGATCAAAAAGATGAATTGAGGACAGATTAGATGGATTACAAAAGAACTAAAACAATTGTATCTGTGAGGCACATTTTGGGCGAATGCATTTATATATACCCTCCGAAGTCGCAAGACTAAGGATATTTACCATTTCTTTTCTCCGTAACAATTAAATGACATTGACACAATTTTAATTCCACACATGGCAATTGAAAATTGATTCAATCACCATTAACCAATCAACATTTATAAATGTAAATAAATATGTCATGTTTTGTGACAGTTCAGAGATGGGAACCTGTTTTCCTTGCAGTGAACTTTGACAAGCTAAATTACAAAAAATGCAAAGATGGGAACGTTTATTTCAAATTACTTTACCTTCTTTATTTTTTTAATGTTTGTGACTAACAAGAACAATAGTCCTATTTTACAGGTGCGGATATGTCGCCTTCTTCATCTTTTTCAATATCAAATATATAGTATGTTTACCGGATGTAGTAAAACCGATGGATTTAAATTGTCAATTTCATTCCATATAATTGCAATAAATCACTATGAATCCAAAAAATTCTAATGTAAACATAAGCCTATTCCAGTCTTCTTATCCCCCACTTTCAGGATATAGTTTACATTGCAGGGTTTTCATAATTACATTTTCCGTTAAAATAAATCGAGAAAAAAAAAGAAAAAATTTGCAGAGATATGACAAGTTTTTTGTAAAAATAACTTGTAGTCACTGCCATAGTACAATAAAAAGGTAAGGTAGAGCTACCAGCTGATTAAAATTTTTTTCTAAGTGTGCCCGACTTCTGCCAATTTTGTGTATGTATTTATTGTTTTGAAAAATGAAAACAAAATATTTTCAAAACCAATGATTGGAAGACACGTATATTGCGGCTCGCGTAAACAACTTTTTGTATATAATTTTGAATGAATCTGACAGGAAGCGGGCTTTGCCTCAGGGCTGTATTTCTGTAGTTTTAAGAAGCTGTTCTACCTCCTTATTGTACCATGGTCACTGCATTCTTTTCACAATGGCATCTTCATTTTTGTTTAAAAATAATAAACAAAACTAATTTGTAATTAATTTCGTGAAATAAAATTATAATTCAATTCTTCAATACAAAATAAACGATATGCGTTATCCATTTTTATACCCTACACCATAGTATGGAGGGTATATTAAGATTGTCATTACGTTTGTAACACCTGGAAATATACATTTTTGACCCCACAAAGTATATATATTCGATGTCGATTTAGCGATGTCCGTTCGTCTATCAGTCTGTGGAAATCACTCTGCTTCCGAACGAAATGAAGTAGTAGTCTGCAGGACTATTGTATTGCCATGTAGGTCCACGTTTTGGTATAGCCCTCATATAACGGTATCTCCCCATATTCGGTACTTTGTTGATTTTAGCGACATTATTCACCGGAATTGTTTTAAATTTTGTATTTGAAGTTTATAATGGATATTACAGCCTAAGACAAAAAATTGTCTGTGCAGGTCCACTTCTTATTAGAGCCCCCATATAACGGTACCTCCCTATATTTGGTATTTTGATGATTTTAACGACATTATTCATCGGAATTGTTTCAAATTTGGTATTTGAAGTTCGTAATGGATACTGCAGCTTAAAGCAGAAAATTGTCTGTGCAGGTCCACATTTTGGTATAGCCCCCATATAATAGTACCTCCCTATATTGATGATTTTAGTTACATTATTTTTTACTTGTTTTATTTATATCAATTTTGTTGTTATTATCAATATAAAATATGGCAACATAAATTCAGTAAACTTTACGTTTAAAGATAAAGGGAAGATGGTCTGACCTTTTGTTTATCGGACAGTTTATACTGAAATAAAACTTAAAATAATGAAATTGCAATCTTTTAATTGCAGCAAATAAAATTGCCCAATGTAAAACGGGTATATTCTTCTCAACAAGGTTGCCAAGTCCAAAACATTAAGAAAACCGCCTTATCGACTCATACAACTCATTTGCTGTGCTGCTGTCTTAATGACGGAATTGTCAACATTGCGAGCGATTTTTTATTCCAAACAAAAGAACGAAATCTACGAGTGAGCGAGCACACGCTGGCTTCAGTTCTTTTTTGCTCTTCGTGTGGTTCGTGTGTGTCGTTTTAAGTTACGGTAATTTTAATGTGTGTTAAGGCGGCGGCATTGGAGAATCTCTAAAGAATAAATCGTGGCTGCCGTACGAAATTCAAACTTGAAAAAAAAATAATAATAACAACAACAAAAATAATTGTTTTATTTAGCAAACATTCTTATTGGATCGTTGTGTGTTTTATTTATTTCGCGTTGAATAGTGAATGGTAGTAGTGTGTTGTTTTAATTCAAAGAAGAAATAAAAAAGAAGAAGAATATTTGCCAAAAAGCAAAAAACCCCACCACAGTTATGAAATACAATCAACAATTGTAATATTAGAACCAATAACCAAAACGACCAGCCACCGAATTATTATCAGTAAATCCTAAGGTTTGTTTGAAAAAAAAATATATTGGAAATAATTTGTATTAAAACCATATGTTTGTGTGGCCCCTCTCCCTCCTGATGATGAATTTCATTTCCGTTTATTTCGGGTGTTTTAATTTTATTTTTGCTTAGTGACGTTTAAAAGGAATTAAGGCAAAGTCGACAGGTAGGCAGCAGACCAGTCAGCTATCATCCCCTTGTTTCACACATTTGGCAATGAAACTCGAACAAAAAGTGTGTGTTTGTGCGGCAAAATTGACTTGAAGTGGAGAAAAAATAAAATATTTTACAATTTGTTTTTCTTTTTGTTTTGCAAATCAGAGAATGTTTAGTTAGATGTTTAGGGAATAGCTATAGGAATTTGATTGTTGAACACGTGTATTAGATAATTGATTAAATGCTAAATTAAAAACCAAATAATGACGTCGACTGGCGGTTAGTCCAATTCGGCGTTTTGCACAACGATTTGTTGCATTTGTAGTTTACCGCTATATTTCTATATTTCGTGTCTCTCAATTCGTTAAGAGTTTGTAATTATGTACGCTCTCCCTCTCTCTCTCTCTTTCATGTAATTCTCTGCTTTCATTCTCTTTCCCGTAAGTGTCAAGTGTAATTGTTGTTATTAGTGATACAATTATTTTGTAGTTTTTGGCAGATGCCTTTGTTGGTCACAGTCGGCAAATCTTATGGTAGCGTAACACCTAAGTGTACCAAGGCAATGTGCGTCGGGCTGTCTGCTTAATTATATATACCTGTCTACGTACATACATACAAGCAAAAATTTATACAGTAAAACACCACAAAAATTCTAACAAGATTTGTTTATTTAAACAATTCCTTAAGAATCAATTTCTCAAAAAAGTGTCGTAAATAATCCCAGGTTCCACTGTAAGTATACAAATTGTATGTGTACGTGTGTTTGTTCGACAATAACGGTGCATAAATTGCATTAAAATCACTTTAAAGTAGTTTTGAAGTGCATAATTTGCCGTTTCCATGTCAGAGATCATTGATCAGCAGAGAATGGCATTGCGCGTAGCGAATATAAGAAAAAAAGTGTGGAAAGAGTAATGACACACTAGACGATGATGATCACGTTAAAAGGAAACAAAAGAAATAAAAAATTATAAGAAATTAATGTTAGAGAAACAAATGATTTTATAATAACCCACCTTGCAGAGTAATATTTAATAAAAATATAATCACAGCTTTCTATAAACAATCGGAATCGCTGTTTTTCCTGGAGACAAAGCCGACTGTTTTGCGGCAAAATAAATAAACAAGTTAAAAAAGTAGTAAGTTCGGCCGTGTCAAAACTTTGAATACCCTCCACCATAGGGAAGGAACTTGACAAATTAAAAAAAAAATAAATAAAATAAATAAATATTGCGTTGAAAATAAAAAAAAAAACTACAAGGGGCTATACGAATACGTGCTGCTGGATAAGTCACTTTTTGACCTCGACTGTAGTAACGATTCCGAACTACAACTACGAAATTCGAAATAATTCTGGTAAATAATGCCAAAATACCGAATAAAGGGAGGTACCGTTATAAGGGAGCTATGCTAAGGTGTGGATCTGCATAGACAATGTCCCGTCATATGTTGTCGTAACCATTACGAACTTCAGATACGACATTTGATGCAATTCCGGTGAATAATGTTGCCAAAGTCATATAAATATCGAATATTTGGGGATACCATTATATGGATGCTATACTAAAACGTGGACCTGTACAGGCAATTATCTTCCACGGGGTAAAGTACTCAGAAAGAACTTCTTGTGTGGATTTTCAGACAATTCCATTAAAAATGTTTCTACAAATATGAAAATACAAATATCTTCGAACTTGACCTACCCGCAGACAAAAGACAGATCGATTGAAAAATTTAGCTTCCTATCTATATTAGTTTTGACTCTAGCGTGATAACAAAAGACGGACAGACGGACGGAAAGGCTTAGATTTTACGCTGATTAAGAATATATACATTGTTATGTCTATATGTATTATTCCGATGAGTTACAAACAGAATGACGAACTTAATATAACCTCCATACTATGTATGGTGGATGGTATAAAAACGTTCTATATTACATTAATTATACCCTCAGTCATATGACTACATAGGGTATATATCATTTGATACGGTCAAAACGTGCCTAGTCGAAATAACGGTTTTACACCCTAGGTCTCTTTGGACCAAATCCGTTTCAGGACATATGGAGTCGATCTAGCGATGTCTGCCCGTCCGTCCGTCTGTCTGGCTGGCTGGTGCGCACGATCGAGTTCCGAGATGGGAAATATCGGACCAGAAGGAGACGTCACGCACAAAAGCTCTAAATTTTCAAAAAAAAAAAAAATATATTCTGCACAGAAAGAGAAACGATAATCCGATTTTGCTCCAACTTTGCAAATCCTAATATTTGCGTCAGTTCTACGTCAGGTGCAAAAATGGATAATATTATTCCACTCCACAAAATTTTGAATAATTACAACTCTTATAAAATTTTCTGATACCTCCCCCACGAAGGGTCAATGTTTTTAATAACCAAAACGTTTATAAAATCCGAAATAAGCATCCGGTTCTCTTTATATTTCACACATTCCCGTATTTATACTATCACAAGATCTGTTGCTAAGATATGGGATATATGTGTCCACCACTTCAACATTTTCTATATCCATGAAGCTCAGAAAACGCGAAATTAACATCCGATTGCATTCAGACTTGTTACAGCTCAATATTTCCATCAACACAAGATATGTAATAAAGATGGTAAAGATCGGACCATTTCTTCTAGTGCCTTCCCAACATAGGGTTCAATATGTTGAAAAACGAAACGCTCAAAGAATGCGAAATAAGCTTCCAATTCCCTCTAAATTGCACACATACAAACATTTTTGCTAACACAAGATCTGTTGTGGAGATGATATATATCTGTGAACCCATTCTGGTACCTCATTCACAAGGGGTCACAATTTTCAATACTTTTATCTGTCATAACTTGTGAAACCAGTTAGCGATTCTTTACAACTTGTTATATCTAAATATTTCTCTCAACTTGAAACGTGAGATGAAAATGGAATTTATGATTTCGCATAAAATTGGATATAAATGTTCGATTTTCTTGTAATTTTGCCCATATCAATATTTTTATCTGTATTAGATGAAGTATGAAAATGGAATACTTCGATCGACTAAATGTGGTAGCTCACGCGCATTTTAACATTTTCTAAAAATTATCACATATCTCATATAAAGAGAAGGAAGCAGTCGATGTAGTCCAAACCAGGGACGTCGCAATATTTATATCATATCTATTTAGGTCCGATACGAAATGGACAATATTGGCCTATTCCTTCGGAACCTACTCCAAATAGGTTCAACTATTTGCATAATCATTTTCAAAATATATTTAAACTAGCTGGCCCGGTCCGCGTTGCCGCCCCGTACTATTAGTCTTTAAAGCATAATAAATCACAGATCACAGTAATGACTCCATTATAATTACTCCAATTTTGATTATAAGTAATGACTTGATTATGAGTAATGACTCCATGACTAAATATAAATTAATTAACCGTCGGTTTTAGATGTTTTGAATAGCCTGATCTTATTTTACAGCTATAGGCTTTAATTTGAGTGTTAAATACCCATATGACAAAGAACATCTATAATAGCCCCATGTGAAAATTCAGGTCCACCTCATACTTGAAGCAGAATGTTGTCAGAATAGCCAAAAAATTACTCTTTTGCTCCGATTACCGTAAGATGGGCATTAATTGTTTGTCATTTGAATTGTGCGGTGGAGATCCAATAAAGTTACTTTATAATTTCGTATTTTTTCTTGTTTCTGCCACAATTTCCGACTGAATGAGTCCCATATTGACATTTCGGAGTTTATTTCATATAGACGTACATCCCAAATATATTAGGATAATTATCTGTAAGATGATTTTCTACCCCAGGGTTTTTACCCCAGGTAGCCTCAAGACTAAGATGCGCACTTTTCCGAAAAATAAAAATTTATAAGAAGAGGTTTTCTTCCCCCTTAGGAACAAAGATGTCAAATAAGGGCCAAAAAATGAAAAAAGTGGTCAAGATCCCGAAAATACTTTAAATCATATGATGGTGATACCAAAACCTGATAATTTTTTGCCAAGATGGTTTCTTCTTAAATTATCAACATAAGCTAAAATTAGTACGAAAAATATGGTTAAAATGTAGAATATATCGGGGTTATGATCCATATCATGACCTAGCAAAGCGATTAAAAGTATCTTGAATGTTTAGGTAGAATTTCTATTTTGCGTTCTTTATAGTTGGTATTTGACTGATTGCAGTCCCAATGTATTTTGCATTTTATGTTCTCATTTGACAATTTATTGTCATATGAAAGAAGCAGGTCCACTTTTTGAAATTAACCCCATAACGCTTCTTCGGTCATTTTTGTTTGTTTAAATGTATTCGCATTTTCCAGCTGAAGCACGATGTAGGTCCTGAAGTAGAAAGCATTTAACATCGTATTGCGCCCTTATTTCATTTTTAATATTATTCATTCAGAATTCAAACTAATAAAAAAATGTACACTTCAATATAGAAAAAAGAAAAAGAATCTTCAACTGGTTCGCTGATTTTTTTGCGGAAAAATTTTAAAGGTCCTTACGAAGTTTGTCGGTAGAATGTACTATTATTTTGAAATTCGATTCCATTGAAAAATTCTCGATTTTTCCCGATTTTAGAATTTTCATATAAAGCGACAACAGATAAAATTGTTATTTATAGATTTTATGTATTTATTGGGAATTATTACATAAAATCTATAAAAAACAGTTTTATCCGTTGTGGCTTTATATTACCAAAAAAAACCTACACATCATATTAGAATTCAAAAAAAAAAAAAAAAAACACTACAAATGTACATTCGAAAATAGTAAGTCAAAATGGAAAAAAGTCATGCAAAATAAAACATTACTATTGTACATTTTAAAAGTCAAAAT